CGCGCAATTTGCCGAGTCACATTGCCACGCCGTAGAGCGGGATGTGGCAACGAACGTAACAGTTGGACGAGGACGGAGCAGAATAGTGCTCTTTTTGTCAATCCGCTCAGCCTGCGGAAGATACAGCTCTTGTTAGTACCCACGTCAATAAACGCTGGTATTAGTTTGACATTCATTCATTTTTTAAATATCAAAGGCATACTTTTAGATCAGTAATATATTTACATCGGTTTCTTCTATTCTTTTGAGTTGTGCTATCGATGTTACATACGATATTTTATCAACATACTTCTACCAGTGATCATGCAATATCATATTTTTCCTTAACGCTAGACGTACATCCACGGATTTAACTTGAAACATCTCAAACTGTTTTTAACCGCACTATACCTCTACTTACCATTATTTAGTCTTTCTTTGGCCTAATGCTCTGTCTCATTGTTCTATGCAAGATCTCCACTGTGTTTCATCAATAAGGTCTAAACAACAAGTTTTCAAGTACGGGTCTAGTTTTAACCAATAAGACTATTGTTATTATATTAACGGCTTTCAGTTATATATGTACACTCTCGTTTATGTTCGACCGAGATTCGTTTCCAAAAGCCGATTAGTGAATTTTCCTTCACTCGCGATATAGCACTTTCCCTCAGTTTTATGCCTCCTTCCTCTTTTGTCGGATGAGTTTTCTATTCTCCGTGAACTTAGTTGAGCTGAAGTCAATTACACGTGATCAACACAGGATATTTTAGGTCCAGATTTGAGTATTTTTAGAACCGATTCGCCCAGAGAACTGTTCCAACAAAGTTATTTGCTGTTCCATGTAGAACTCGATGAGCTGCATCGAACGGTGAAAATCGCTCCTCGATGCATATTATAATAAACGAGATATAACAAAATTATCATTTTTTCGTCCATTGCAACAAGTTCCAGAAAATGTAATTCTTCGGCTGATTCGGCTAGGAACTTGTTCCAACAAAACCCTTCAAGTTCCAAGTATCATTTTCCGAGCTCTATCCACCGATGAACACTGCATCTCAATAGCATCATCCATTACCGAGCTATACGTCTCACAATGCTAAACCTCAGCATTGTGGCGACATCTATTGTAAATATATACGTATTAAGTGAGCCGATTTGTCCCACTGGATATTCCGACAAATCTATATGCTGTTCCAAGTGCAACTCGATGAGCTCAACCCAATGGTAAAAACCGCATCTTGATAGATTCAACTATTGGGAAGATATTGGCCAGATGCTGGTCACGATTCTCGAGTCCAACTAATATTTCTTGGACCGATTCGCCTAGGAATCTGTTCCAACAAATCTATATGGTGTTTCAAGTGCAACTCGATGAGCTCTATCTAATTGTGAAAACCGTATCTCGATACATTCAACTGTCGCGAAGATACTATTCGGCTATCAATCCCAATTGCCCCGTGCAACTAATATATCTTGGACTCATTCAGCTAGAAGCCTGTTTCACAAAGGTATTCATGTTCCAAGTGTAATTCCATGCGCTCTGTGAAATGTTGAAATCCGTCTTCATAGCGGGCCTAGTTCTCGAGAAAGTTGCTGCATACCAGCCGCAATCAGCCTAGCGGATCGGTATTTTCTGATTCGATTCGCTCAGGAATCTACTCTAAGAAAAATACTGACGTCCCAAGTGTTAGTTTCTGACGTCTATTGAATCAAGATCAGTTTTTTGACATAGCATTCTCGGTTCTCTAGAACAGGGTCCAATACCGATCAATACGGAACTAGGTGCCAGTTTTCAGCCATTTTCTTGACAACTGATGGTACAATCGAGAAACGGTTACCATCATTCTACACAATCCATAAAATCACACTTGGAACATGCATACCTTTGTGAAACAGGTTTCTAGCTGAATGAGTCCAAGATATATTAGTTGCACGGGGCAATTGGGATTGATAGCCGAATAGTATCTTCGCGACAGTTGAATGTATCGAGATGCGGTTTTCACAATTAGATAGAGCTCATCGAGTTGCACTTGGAACAGCATATAGATTTGTCGGAATATCCAGTGGGACAAATCGGCTCACTTAATACGTATATATTTACAATAGATGTCGCCACAATGCTGAGGTTTAGCACTGTGAGACGTATAGCTCGGTAATGGATGATGCTATTGAGATGCAGTGTTCATCGGTGGATAGAGCTCGGAAAATGGTACTTGGAACTTGAAGGGTTTTGTTGGAACAAGTTCCTAGCCGAATCAGCCGAAGAATTACATTTTCTGGAACTTGTTGCAATGGACGAAAAAATGATAATTTTGTTATATCTCATTTATTATAATATGCATCGAGGAGCGATTTTCACCGTTCGATGCAGCTCATCGAGTTCTACATGGAACAGCAAATAACTTTGTTAGAACAGTTCTCTGGGCGAATCGGTTCTAAAAATACTCAAATCTGGACCTAAGATATCCTGCGTAGATGATCAATAGATTCATTGGTACGTTAAAAAGGATAATAGAAAAAGCACAGATACTTTCATACTCTTCTGAATTGTAAAGATAATGTAGTGTTGATCCCGAGTCTGAAAAGAATGTGGAATATCGTATCTGCCAGTGTCATTGATAACAATACATCTGATGCTGATATTTCCAAAGACGATTATTCTTAATTCAGATATTGATTATTTATCAAGAAACATCGTCTGCCATTTATGTGACAACACAGCAGAACAGTTGAACACAGATGCATTAAGCGAAAACTAACCGCTACTTACGTAAAAAACAAGATAACAGTGTGCTTTTAAGTGTAATTTTCTGACATTTTGTTCTTGAAAAAACAGAAACAGAATAAACGAAAACAAATTCTCTATTTTTTCAGTAAGAAACCGATAGTTACGCGAGCATATGAATATAGATGCACTAGTACATTTTAAATGTATATGTTCTTTTCTTGTCAAAGAGTATCGGGGATAGACCTTTGTGACGAAGGAGTTCTTAGAAATTCTGCCTAATATGAGAGCGTTCTAGACATGCATAATAATGATATGGGAAACAAAAAGAAGTTGACCTTGTGCGTTATTTTCTTCATCGGTCCATTTAGACTCCTGGGTGGCTATGCAGTGATGACATAAGAAGGCCCACCTAACTTTTAAAAACTTACATAATTTCCGTTTGCTCACACATAACAATAAAACTCCAACGAGTCTCAAAAATTCGAAGAAACATACACCGAATTGCTAAAAACGACTCAGGTTCCCGTGTAATATTGATCGAAATGGTCAAGTGGTTTAGAAGTTAGACAATTGTATTTCGTGCCCAAATTATTATGTAAAATACTCTTTAAATTATGATCATACACATCTGTTCGAATTACATCAACTGATCTAATGAAATAACAGCAGCAGTACTCCTACGATGGTGATGGCAAGCATGTAAAAAAGATACAATTTTAATTTGACTCTCTCGGAGTGGGATGGGGCGAGGACGAATGATACACCAACGATACGGGACGAGGCGGATGAGTACTCATATACAAGGCGAGACGAGATGATTTTTTTAGCTGCATCACGAATCTCTGGTATATATTATGCCTATTTTCCTTATTACTTGGATGATTGACAACTATGACTTTAACTAAACAGTACTCTTAGACTCTGGTCTGATTAGTTTATTAGAATAATACATCGTGAAAAAAGACTTTGTCATGAAAAAAATTGAATGACTTTTCAAATTCGAACATCGTCAACAATCAAAAGCTATTCTTCGTTCGTTAATGAATCTATCTGCAACTACCAAAGCATAACGTTTTACCTTATTTTCTGATAGTTTACTCATGTTTTTTGCTGGTGTCGTTGTTAGTGAAAATTCGCAAGATCTAAGAAGCACTGTACCTTCGTTTTCATTTCGTCGCAAGTAATCACAGAATGAAAATGAGTAAGTTGTGATATGGACGAATATAGACGTACAAGAAAACGACAGAACGAAAGAAAACGCGTATAATTAGGGATGTGATGAGCATAAGACGTTTCTTACACGTTGTGATGCATATCAAGTATGAAGACCAAACGAAATAAACAACTATTCCCTTTTCTGAAAGAAAGGGTATAGACAACAGAGTTAAAAAATAAGATTCTGTGTCTGTCTTAGCCAATCAGAACGCAGTACATTTGCGATCAATCAGATAGAAGCAATCTCTACAGAGAAGTCGCGAAGGGTGCTCATTAACTATAGATAATTAGGCCTGGTCTTCAGTATAAAATAATAGTATATTAATTAACACGATTGGCTAAAAGTTTAATACACATTTAATACACTTGTGAAAGCTATATTACAATTAATGCACCAATCACAATATATATCAGTTGTCTAAGAAAAGTGAGGTAGTGTGTCTCTATGAAATTAAATAAAAAATTAATAAAACAATAAATATAGGTTTAAAAAAAATAAATAAATTTTATTTAAATACAGGTTGATTACAAAAAAAAGAAGAAGAGGAGCAGTATTTAAAACTTTTCATGGTGAAGGCAAGCTAGCCATAATGATGGCTACTAAAGCAATAAAAATTGTCAAGTGTTCAAGAAAAACTTCACCTACAGAAAGCTAAATAGAGGAAAACTTGAATAACGTAACAGAATCAAACAAATGGAGATTTCATTGCTTTTCGATAAAACGGTAGGAATGTTTCTAATATATGTAAATTAGTATAGCATTAAGAAATTCAGATCTGCTGCTTTATTGTCACTTGTGAAAATTGACTTGCATATTATACATTATTGAGATTCATATGACTAATCATAGCATATATTGCTATAGGTAAACAAGAAAATATTGTATGATATTAAAAATTTTAATCATTGTTTATATTGAAATATTATCGACAAAAAATCAAGTATACCTTCGTATTGAGAAAGTATAGTTTCAGATGATTTCGCAATATATTCAAGTTGTTCTCCTTCAGAACAAGAGACTTCAAGTTCTTGGTTAATCACAACAGCCATCATTACAATCCTTAGGAGCTTCAATAACTCAAACAATTTGTCCTATCAATCCAACTGATTTCGTATCTCCATTATCTTCTAAATCACCTTCATCACAATCTGATAGAGCAACAATACCATCGCCTTCTGTATTGAATTGTGAATCGCAAACTACGCAAAAATAACTTTTATCATTAGGACAAGCGACTTCTAGTGTCATATCATCTTCTTTGTCTTTAACAGTTGTTGATGCGATATCAAAACAGGGTGTGGGTGTGGGGTGTGGGTGTGGGTGTGGGTGTGGGTGTGGGTGTTGATGAGTGTCTTACCTCTATTCACATACCCACACACACCCACACCCACACCCAGGGTGAACATTCGGAGTCATTTTCTTCCAACAAAACTTCGAATGCTCCAACAGAAAAATGGTCTTCATACTACAAAATCACAGCCAATAATGAAATTCTAGTATATGATTGCGATCAGTATTCTTATTCCTATCTTTCTGATTGATCACCTTTCGATTACACCAAAAAAGAAATTTTTTCGAAATTCCCGTACTCCACCTCATGGCTTTCGGGGGTCAAAATTTTTTTTTCTTGTTTTGAAGAAATGACCTATGAGATTTGATTCAGGATAGAATCCTAATTTGTACGAAGTGAAAATTTCCATAATTGAAAGTCCTTGGAAAACGCTTAAGGTCGTTTTTCTCGATGCTGTTTACCTAGCTTTTGCCAGTATATGCCACTTTTTGTACCCATTCTATGCTTTTTTTTCATAATTTTTTTACCATTTTGTAGAGAATCAAAAGTTATATAACATATAAAAAATGCAGCCTGGGCACTAATGATTGCAATGAATGGCAGCAGATATATCTCCAAAAGTCTGACGTCATAGACTAGTAATCTGTTAACTTTTTCAGTCATGTTAGCCCAGTAAAGGAATGATACACAATATTTCAAATAGCTCATTTTCCCCATGTATCCATACTCTATCATGTGGTATATAACATGAAACAATTCTCTCATTTCTTGTAATGTAATACCAGCAGACATTTATGAGATAAATCATCATTGTTTTTCTTGATACTAGGTAGACGGTGCTAAAAGTCGATCCAAGCTAACTTTACTATAAAATGTCCAAATGCGCTAAAAATTTAGGTTTATTAGTTTCAGACATTACCCTTTCAAACGCATATAAAAAAATCAAAAATTTAAATTTTGACGAGTGCTTCGGATTCTGGATGCTGTCATGGACCGTCTCTTAAAGGTTTATCATTCTACTCTTTTTTTTCAGTATGTTGAACACACCTTTCTTCGATCTCTTTTCGTTTGGTTTAACTTCTGATGACCTTGCTGTTTCTTTAACCACTACTAGTACTTCGGTATTATGCTCTTAGCTAGTCGCGCTGTCATTATCATCTTCACCTAGTTTTCCTGTCCTTGCATTATTAGTAATCATATTAGTTATTTATGTTCATTAAGCTGACATCCAAAAGTCATGTTAGTGCAGGCTCTTTGGAGTTGAAATGTAGACTTCACATAAATTCTTTAGCCTCATTTAACTATAACAAAAGGCGAAAAATGAAAAATTTTTTCTTAAACTAATGTTGTTTCCTAACACAATAAATCTCTCCACAAATCCCTCTCTCATTGATGTCTGCATTTTGAACAATTTGTTTTTGAGAAGGAGTTGATAAGGTCTGTGATAGGAAAGAAATGGCAAACATGAAAGCTTTAACTTAAAACTTACACTCACTATTCTCTTCCAAAATATATGTGAGTTCCACAAAAATCTATATCTTGATTTGTATAAATTAGATAGCTACCCAGGTGGAAGAATTTGTCTATAAGATCTTGTGTGATTCTTACTAGATCATATAAGAATTTACTGTATGGTCTTCCATGAACGTATAAGATCATATGAAAGTCGTATACGATCTTGTAGGATTTTATATGCCAATCTTAAAGCCACCATTTCTGATAAAATCTTACTGTACGATTCTTGTATGATCTTTATGTCAGATAGTATACGATCTTAAATGATTCATGTATGGTTTTCCAGAGCTTTATAGAGCATTGTATAGCTAATTTGATCCACTTCTGACATCTATATGCTTAGGTTTTTCAAGAAAGTATTTGAGCTGGGATAATGCACATACTTATTCATTCATAAAAATTACAAAAAAACAGAAATACAAATATTCGCTGATAACACATAAGTGAAAAGTTAGAGAAAAAATAATAATTTTTTGAGTTTGATTGACTGAATCATCTAAATAAAAAATAAATAAATAATTGAAATTTTAAAAAACTAACTTATATTAAATCCTTCATTAGTATGTTCTGAAATCAAAAAACAAATACTTCCCATTAGAAAACAAATTCACTTCAATTTTATTCAATCGTAAAACAAACCTAAACTAAAGAAATAAGCATCATTTCAATTAAAATAAAAGTTATTTCTAATTTAAACTGTTGTAGATAATTTTGATTGTAAATAAATCAGTCTGATAAAATAACATAAAGAAATTATATTAGATTAATTCACTTCATTATAATATAAATTAAACAATTCTAGTGGATTAAATTATTTTGTTTTAAACTAAAATAAACATGATAATTCTATCGGATTAAATTTATTGTAATTAAAATTAAAATAAAGCAGATATAATTTCAATCAACTTATTTTATTTTATATTTGTTGTAAATATATAATTGTATTAAATTAATTTTGTGTCACATTGGCTTAAAATATATATAAAAAAAATAATATCCCTAGTTTAAGTTAAAATAAACAAAAACTTTAAAAAAATTTTGTTTAATCTTGAGATTTGTATCAATATCTAATAAATAAATCAATATGTAGTATATAATGATATTAAAGTTAATGATGTATTTATAAAGACACTATTTCACTAAATTTTTTTTATTTGTTTTTCGTTGTAACATCATGTATTATTGTCTTGTTATCTGGTTGAAAATGATCGTCAAAATGATCGAAAATTTCCATACTAAAACTAAAATAAAATAAAAACATCTATTATTCATTATTATATACTACATATTGATTTATTTATTAGATAAAATAAACAAAAAAAATGAAAAATAATAATCGATGAAATAGAAAAAAAATTTTAAAAAAATCAATAAGATTTTATAATGTCTAAAGTAAAAACTGAATTAATTTCGAACAATTATATATGAATATAAAAAAAACTTTTTTTACTTCCATTTTGAAAAACAATATAAGATACATTCTTCTTTAACCAAATTAAAACTTAAAATGATTGCATAATGGTTCGCCCATCTAAGTATATAGCCTATTGTGACCATGGTCAGATTACGAGTTCTCCACGTTGGAGAGTTAGAGATCAGAAGTGCTATACAAAAGATCTATTTTCAAGTCGAAATGACGTAGTATTTAAATTAGAACGTTTTAGGGTTTTTAAATATACAAAGCTATCGTTAACCTTCCCCCCC